TCGTGGAGCTCTATCATATTTGATTGAGTAGGTTTGAACACCGCTCTCCGCCTAAAAGAAGGGGAGGGGGGTCATATTATAAGAATCCCAGGTTCCCGATAGTGAGGTGGGGGGGGGGACAATATTTGAATTATACCATTTTGACACGTTTTTTTGAGTTAAAAAAACGTTAAATTTGACTTAAAAATCAGTTTAAAAAATTGAAGATACTAAAAAAAAGAAGTTTCTTCTAGAAAACACAAAAAAATCAAAAAAAAAACACATCGTTTTGGAGGTCGAAAAAGGCACTTATTGTCGGATTATCGGAAACAAAAATGCCTTCCGATTTTGGTGACCGAAGTCAGACAAAAAAAGAAAAAAAGAGAGGAATTGAGGGTGTACACCACCTTTAATTAAAGGCTTCTGTAATTATGATTCTCTCCATGTCTCAAACTATATCCAATCAGAACGATCAGGTTTCGCCAGGGACCCGGGACCGAGGGACTCTACTTTAGTTCATTTGGGGGGGGGGGGGGGGCTATATTTGAATTCATCCTTGCCGTTTTTTAGAACGTTCTCCTATTTTTTCCTGACTTTTCCTATGTTTCCTATGTAACTATTTCTCCTATTTTTAGACTATTTTTCAATCTGAAAAATCACAAGAGTTTCCCTTTTTCCTTGGGCATTATGAATTTTGAGGTTAGTTTTTATTTAAATGACATTTGCACTGAAATTTATAAAGATAATAGACTTTGGATCGAATTCAAAATTCAAAAATCAACATTTCTAAAAAGAATTTGAAACAGTGTAATCTCTTTTTTCAAATTTGAAGTTTTCTTCTGTAAAAATACCGTAAACACTCTAATAGAACGCCACCTAAACCGTCAACTTTGAGACCATATATCTCCATTCCTGTGAAAGATATCAAAAATCGGTTAACTGATAAAATGTTCATCATGATATCATGATAAACATTTTATCAGTTGACCGTTTTTTGAAATCTTTCACAGAAAACTAGATATGTAGGCTCAAGTGGACGTTCCTAGTCGCATTCTATTAGAGTGTTTACAGTATCAGAAAAAAAAGTGATAAACTGATAAAATGTTTATCATAATATCAGTAACATTTTGTCAGTTGACAAAATTTTGATATCTTTCACAGTAATCTAGATAAATGGGCTCAAAGTTAGTCTGAAAAATAAGCGATTTTTGAGTCTTCAACTTTGAGCTCAATTATTTCGGTTTTGATAAGAGATATAAAAAAATTTGCCAACTGATAAAATATTACCGAAAACGTGATAAACATTTTATCAGTTGACAAAAGTTTGATATCTCTAACAGTAACCGAGATAATGGAGCTCAAAGTTAGGAGTGCTTTGAAGTTAGGCTCGAAGTTCAAAAATGAGCGATTTTTGAGTCTTTAATTTTGAGCTCAATTATCTCGGTTACTGTAGGAGATATCAAAAAGCGATCAACTGATAAAATGTTGCTGCTATCATGATAAACATTTTATCAGTTGACCGTTTTTGAAATCTCTCACAGGAAACTAGATATGTAGGCTCAAAGTGGACGATGCGGGTGGAGTTCTATTAGAGTGTTTACGGTATCAGAAAACCGATTATAAAGTTCATCAATTATGAATCAAATTAGATATTCGTAAATCAAGATTTCTGAAAAATTTGAAACAGTAATTTGTTTCAATTTTTAATTACTCATCATAAAATCCCAAAGGACAAAAAATACAGAAAAAATAACAAATGATGTCATTGAAAAAAAGAATTCCGGAAAAAATAAAGTACATTGTGACTAAACATACAATGCAGACAACAAAAATATACATTAGTTTCCAAAAAATGGATTTTTTTTTGGAAAAAATTACTGTTTCAAAAATAACTAAAAAATTTTTGAGGAATTTAAAAAAATTGATCCGGATGGTATCTTTTTTTTAAAAACAACAGAATATATAAATTTCTTGGAATTTTGAAGTTGCTAGAAATTTCTAAAAATCCAATAAATTTTCTAGAAATTTGTGAAAATTTTTTTCTAAAAATTAGCAGTTTTCTGAATACAGGGATTCTGATTGTTCTCTTAAAATCCAAAAGATCGATATCTTAAAATTTCTAACATCCGAAATTTAGACTTTTTGAGTTTTGAAAAAAAAAATACTGTTTCGAAAATTTCGAAAATTGAAAAATCCATAGAAAAATCCTGATTGTCTGGTTCTTCGATTACCAAAGCTTTGAAATTCTCAAAATGCAAAAAAAAACGAACTGAAAGTCAATTTTCCAAAAATTCGAGGTTCAAAAATTCTGAAAATTCGAAAAAGTTGGCTGAAAATAGTTCAATATGCTATTTGAAATTTCAGAAAAAAATTAAATTAAATTTCGTTTTCAAAATTATTTTGAAATTCTGGAAATATTAATAAAAGCAGTAATGCTGAAATGATAAATAATAAGGAAAAAGGTCATGATAAAAATACAAATTGGTTGAAAAATAACCAAAATATTTGCGATTTTCCAATTTTTACATACAGTACCCCTCAATAAGATGTACAAAAACGTATTTTTCAGTTCATTTTCGGCTATTTCGACCATTTTCAGGAGTACTGTAGCTCGACTATCAAGTTTCCGATCACCTTGAAAATTTTGGAGGGTGTAAAACAGACCTAGATTGAAAACTTTGCATTCACAGAATGTTTTGGAAATTCCTAGTTTTTCAGATATTTGTCGATTTCTTTTTAGCCAGTTTTTCTACTGTAAATGGTCTGAAAAGGCGAATATTCGAAAAATTAGGAATTTCCAAAAAATTCTGTAAATGCAAAGTTTTGAATCTTTCAAAGTGATCGGAACCTTGATAATCGAGCTACAGTACTCTTGAAATTGGTCGAAATAGCCTAAAATCAACTGAAAAATACGTCTTTTTATATCTTATTGATCGGTACTGTATGTCAAAATTGAGAAATCGAAAATTTTTTGGCTATTTTTCAATCAATTTGTGTTTTTATCATGACCTTTTTCGTTATGTTTTGCCATTTCTGCACTGCTTTCTTTTCAATATTTCCAGAATTTCAAAAAAAAAATTTGAAACCGAAATTTAATTTTTTTTTTCTGAAATTCATATTGGACTATTTTCAGTCAATTTTTTTTCGAATTTTCAGAATTTTAGAACCTTTTAGAACAAAATTGAGAAATCGCTAATTTTTTATTTTTGAAACTGTCGGCACTACTTTTTTTTCTCAAATTTTCAAGAATTTCAAAACATTTTGAAACCGAAATTTTTGTTGCTAAATGCCAAATTTTGGACCATTTTCCAGAATGTTTTTTGTTAAAATTTTCAGATTTTCAAAAAAAAAAAAAAAAACAGAATGTCAAAATTAGACAATCAGAAATTTTCTATGATTTTTAAAACAGTAATTTTTCTCAAAAAGTTGAAAAAAAACGAATTTCTAGCCCAAAAACACCCCATTTTTCAGCTCCCAACGTCTAGTTCAACATCGGACATCCCGACAAACCGACATCCGGACATCCCGCCACCACCACCTCGATCCGCATGTACAACACCGACAATTCTAGTGTTTCCAGCGACTTCTGACTATTCGAATGGCGGATTCTTTGATTCAAATTGTGAAAATGGAGGGACTAATGTAAAGGATAAGGCTAGGCAGTTGGTTAACTTGGGTTTTGTGCCGAGGAGGAGTAATGGAGATTACAGTACTCCGGTGGAGAGGTAAGAAGACATCTGGACACATGGAAGTATGGACAGAATTTCAAAAAAATTCTCGAAAAAATTGCTGTTTCAAAAATTCCTAAAAATTCATGTTATATTTTAAAACTTCGATCCTCTCCCACTCACTTCATAGTTAAATTGTTACGGATTTTCAAATTTAGAGGCTTCTAGAACTAAAAATCGATGAACCTAACTTTGACCCGATTTATCTCGGTTACTGGAAGAGATATAAAAAAGTGGTCAACTGATAAAATGTTAATCATGATATTATAAACGTTTTATCAGTTGATCACTTTTTGATATCTCTTACATTTACCGAGATAAATTGGCTCAAAGTAAGAGAAGTTTTACCGTATTCCCTCGAATAGATGTCCAGCCATACCGTCAACTTTGAGCTCAATTATTTCAGTTACTGTAAGAGATATCAAAAAGTTGTCAACTGATAAAATGTTTATCATGATATGAGTAACATTTTTATCAGTTTATTATTTTTGGATATCTCTTACAGTAACCGAGATAAATTGACCCAAAGTTTGAACAATTTCATATGGAAAACATTGAAGTTTTGAAATAGCATTCGAATTTTTGGAAACTTTTGAAACAGTAATTTTTTAAAGGTGCATGTAAAGATTACGGTATTCACTGTTTTTTTTAATGAAAAACGCGTCTGTAAACATAAATATACCGTAATCTCTACATGTGCCTTTAAAGGGACCTTTGCTAAAAAGGGTACTGTAGTCTCAGCCATAAATCTTCGATTTTTCAAAGGCACACGTGAGGATTACGGTAGTTGTTGTAACCCTCAAAGGCGCATGAAAGGATTACGGTAATTGCTGTTTTTAAGGACATCCGCTAGAAAGGGTACGGTAGTTTCAGCTATGCAAATTAAAAATTCTGGGGTTTTGGACCCAGAAATCCCCAAAATTCAGAGTTTTGGAGCATCCGGACACACAGACACACATAACAGATGAAAAAATGACCTAGTTTTGCACCTAAAAGTCCATTTTATCCCTAAAAATCCCGTTTTTTTTTCATAGACATCCGGACACACCGAAACACAGCAAATTGTCCATTTTTCAGACCAATCTCTCAAGTATCATCAACCTTATCACAAGTAAGTGATGAATTCGATGACGGCGGTGATACGACAGATGAGGAATTGAATAATGAGGAGAAACAGTTGAAAAGGCACCGACATGAGGATGATTTTGACGAAATACAAATCAATAATCAGAGAAAAACGACGTCGGCATTGGAAACGACGCATTCAGGAGTGATTCAACAAATGGAAAGTTTGATGAGGTAATGGGAAATTCTGAAAATCGATTTTAAACCTGAAATTGGCTGAAACTGGTTGAAATATCGCCGAAAAATCACTAATTTTAGCTTTAAATCACCGAAAAATTATCGAAAAGTCTGAAAATGTTTCATTCGAAAATAGGCCTAATATAGCTCAAAAATAGCTTGAAATAGGTCAAAAATGGCTCAAAACAGGATAAAAAATGGCTTAAAATAGCTTAAAATAGTCCAAAAATGACTTGAAATAGGCCAAAAAATAGCTTAAAATAGCCCAAAAATGCTTTGAAATGCCTGACAATGCCTGAAAATGCTTAAAAATGCCCGAGAAATGCCTGAAAATGTCTAAAAATGGTTGGAAACAGCTCAAAAATAGCTTAAAATAGCCTGAAAATGGCTTGAAATAGGCTAAAAATGACTTAGAATAGCCTAGAAATAGCTTAAAATTGCCCAAAAATGCCTAAAAATGCCTGAAAATCTACTATTGGTCGGAATAAAAAAAGTG